CTGGGCACACGCTCGGGGCGCCCACGGTGTTCGCAGCAGGCCTGGCCGACCCCACACCACGGCAGCATGGAGAGGGCCAGGCGTGGACAGCCCTGGGCAGAGCCGAAGGTCAGGGAGGAGGCGAACCCTGGGATGCCCTGTGCCCAGGGTCGGGGTGCCCTGTGGCAAGTCAGCGCGTTCTCGGGCGACCCGGGAAGAGCGCTCTGGTGTCCGTGGCCGTGAGGGCGCAGCCCCCCTGTGGGCCTTCGTGGTGGAGTGGCCTGTGGTGGGCATGACGGTGGTCTCAAGGCCCCCGGCCCCAGAGCCAGGCCTAAGGCTGCAGGGCCTCTGATGGGAGTAGCAGGCTCTGGGTTGCCAGGAAAGTTGTTCTCGCGGAACTCGGGCAAAGCGGCCTTGAAGCTGGTGGGGGGCCGGGCGCCTGGGCGTGGCAGGAAGGAGGCCGCGAGCCCCGGCCCGGGTTTCCCCAGCCGCGGGAAGGCACGACAGATGCCCCAGGCCCCGGGCTGCGCTTGGGGTGCGTGCGTCCCGGCACGGGCCGGGCAGGCAGGCGGCGTAGGCGCCGGCTCCACTCAGCCACTCCCTCCCCAGGCACGGGCGAGAGCGGGAAGAGCACCTTCATCAAGCAGATGCGCATCATCCACGGCGCCGGCTACTCGGAGGAGGACAAGCGCGGCTTCACCAAGCTCGTGTACCAGAACATCTTCACCGCCATGCAGGCCATGATCCGCGCCATGGAGACGCTGAAGATCCTCTACAAGTACGAGCAGAACAAGGTGAGTGGCGGGCTGTGGGCGAGGACCGTGCTGGGGCCAGGCCGGGCCTCCAGGCGGGTGCGCCCCGAGGCCTGTCCCTTCCTGTCAGGGACACGGAAACAGCAGCTGCTGCCTTTCCGGGCACCCGCGGGCACGCCTCCCTTCTTTCCTCTCGGCACCCCCTCTGTGCAGGCAGGGAAGCTGAGGCCCGGCCAGAGGAGCGACCTCGTTCACAGCCCTCCCATACTCGGGCCCAGCACCTGCTGGGCGCTTGGTCCTCGTGGCGTGGACCCGCATGATGCCCCGGGTGATGCTTCCTTGGCTGTCTGTATAGTGACAACTTTGTTGAGGTCCAGTTCACGCTCCGTGCAGCTCACTTATCGAAAGTCCGTCAGTTTGTGGTTTTTGACGTATTCGCAGAGCTGTGCAGCCATCATCTCTGCCTGATTCCAGAATATTCTCATCGCCTCCAAAGGAAACCCTTTCCCTATCCGCCATCACTCCCCATTCCCTCCCTGTCCCCTGGCATCCGCAGATCCACGTCCTGTCTCTGTGGACTGGCCTGTTGTGGACGTTTCATAGAAGTGGAGTCATGCCCTGTATGTCCTTCCATGTTTGGGCCTCTCACTAAGCGTGACGTCTTCAAGATCCCTTCACGCCGTGGCCTGTGTCAGAGCCCCCTTCTTGTTCGTGGCTGGGCTGAGTTCCACGTGTGGATGGCCACTCTGGGTTGACCCATCATCCCTTGGTGGACATGTGGGCTGCTTTCCAGTTTTGGCTGTTGACTTGTGCTGCAGCGGATGTGTGGATATGTGTGTGTGTATGTGTGTTTGTCCCATCGGTGTACCCCAAGTGCCTTGGGGGGTGGAGCTGCTGGGCCCAGGGGTCTCCAGATATGCCCTGTGAGAAGCTGCCGGCCTGTCCCCAGGGTGCAGACCCTGCCACCATACTCCGCTGGGTCCTGCTGTGGCCTCCTATGGCCGTCCTGGCTGAGTGACCGCTGCCTTTGCCTTTGCGGACCTGACTCCAGGGGCTGTGGCTCAGCCCAGAGGTGGTCCTGCCAGCACCCGGCAGGGCCCACGCTGTGCAGCTGTGGCTCGAGTTTGTCCATCCGCTTGAAGGCTGAGCTCTGCTGGCCGGTGTCTGAGACGTCTCTGATCGAGCTTCCTCCCTCACCCAGTTCCAGATCACAGGCCAGCGACGACCATGCTGGGAGGAGCCCCACGTGGGCCTGTGTGGACCGCTGGCTCGCCGCCCACCCTGTCTCCGCTGGTCTCCCTGGCCGTGCCTCCCTGAGGGGCCCGGGTCCCCCAGCACCCGGAACAGGGTCTGCGAGCTGCGGCCTGTCTTCTCGGGAAGGCGGCATTAGCACGTGCCCCTTGTAGACGCAGCGTGGCATGAGGCTCCTGCTGGAGGCTGAGCATGGGGGAGACAGGCTGTGTGGCCTGCGCCGCTGGCGTGCCATGCTCCAGCCCCTGCAGAGGCCGGGGCTGCTCCGGGCCGGAAGGGCCCGGTCGGCGGGATTTCTGGGGTGTGTCTGTCCTGGTCCCCAGGTGTACTGCCCCAGCCCAGGTGGGAGGGGTGGAAAGGGTCAGGCCGGGGCATGTGGCTTTGCGGGAACACTTGGCGAGTCCCTCCACTGGCCCTCAGCGCGGGGCAGGGCTCCTGTTCCCTTCTGTCCCACCCCGCAGCCAAGCTGTGATCAGCCGTGCCAGCCAGGACACCCAGGACAGGCATGCAGAGAAGCGAAGAGGCCTGGACGGACTTCCCAGAGCGTGTGGCCTGAGTTGTGTGTGCTTGCGCGTGTACGTGCACATGTCCACGTGGCTGTCCTTCCTTTGTGACGTGGCGTGTGGCTGAGCCTCAGTGTCTCGGCCTCGACTGTGGCCCTCAGGGTCAGATGTGGCCATGGTCCAGGGTCCCTGGAGTTAGACCGACTGGCATCGTGTCATCTGTTGAGTGCTATGGGCATCGTGTAAGCTGTTGAGTGTGGTGAATATTGTGTAAACTGTTGCATATCCCCGCTGGGGTGCCGCACGCCATCCAGAAATCCCACCGACTGGACACTTCCAGACCTGGGATCAGTTCCCAGCCTCTGTGAGGGCTGGAGATGCTTCATGCAGTGCCTGCTACTGCTAGTGCTTAATAAGCGCTCGCTGGACGAGAGAGGCCCACGCAGGGCAGCAAGTGAGGCCTGGGACTGCTGCTCTGGGCTTGGGCTGCCGGCTCTGCTGCCGGTGAGCGGTGCCCTGCGACTCAGTTTTCTACTCCTGGTGTCCCAGGGAGAAATCTAGGCAGTGGATTCTGCTTCCCAGGGCTGCTACACCATCCATTCCGTCGCGGCTGGGGCTGCAGCTGCCTCTTGCAGGGCTTTCCTTGTCCTGGGTTCTGAAGAGCACATCGTTTCGCGTGGAGGCTGTGTCCCTCCTTCAAGTCCAAGGCCCGCCCTGCCTCCTCGGGGGGGAGAGGGAGCGGTCCCTCCCGCCAACCGTCCCGCTAGAGGTTGTTTAGGGACATCGCCCGTCGGACGCAGGGTCGCGTGGAACCAGGGTCAGGGTTCCGGCAGCCTTGCCGATGCTGCCTGGCTGGCGAGAGCTGGCTGCGCCCCACCAGGAGCTCTCCGGCGGCCCCGTCGTGGGTGCTGTGCCCCCGGTGAGCTTGTGGCCTGCCCTCCCGCCCGCAGGCCAACGCACTTCTGATCCGGGAGGTGGACGTGGAGAAGGTGACGACGTTCGAGCACCAGTACGTGAGCGCCATCAAGACCCTGTGGAACGACCCTGGCATCCAGGAGTGCTACGACCGGCGGCGGGAGTACCAGCTCTCAGACTCTGCCAAATAGTGAGTGCTGCCTTCCGTGGAGTGCAGGCCCTGACAGGGCAGGCGCCATGGCGGAAGCCGCGGGCTCTGTTGGGCTGGTGACCTCTGCCCTGCCCTCCCCCCTGCCACTGCGCTCCGGCCGGCATGAGGCTGGGTGGCAGCCCTGCGGTCCCCTGGGAGGAGGTGGGCACTCCTAGCCGTCTGGGTCATGCCCGTGGCGGCATCCCTGGGGCCACGTCGCCCACTAGCACCTGGTCCGGCTTTAACTGGACGTCGGGGCTCTCGACCTGCTGGCCCGAGATAAGCGCTGCCTGGTGCTCCAGCAGGTTGCTGGCACCATGACTGCAGACCGAGGCCAGGCTACGTGCTCTCTCCCTCCCTGGCCTTTTCCCGTCCCGGGAGTGGCCTCAGGGGGTGTGGAAAGCCTGCTCCCGGCCCTTCCCGCTCACTCCCCTCATGTCCTGCCCTGGGGACTTGCGGTCCAGCCCCGGTGAACGAGGATTTGGAGCCAAAAGCCACGGCGTGTTGGGCAGGGCTGGGAGGGTCTGAGAGACCCCTGACCTCCATGTCCCTCTCACCCACCCAGTCCGCCCCAGGAAGAGCACCAGGCAGACCGCTCAGCCGCCTGCAGGGCCTCAGGCCTGTCTTGGCGTCAGAAACAGTTGGAGGGACTGCCCCAGGCAGGGAAGGGCACTAGGGGAAACTGGGGAACCAGAATGGTGTGTGGTGTGGACATCAGCTCGTCACGCGAGGCGCCCCGTGGAGAGACAGACGTGCAGGAATGTTCGGTCTTCTCTTGCACTTTGGCAAATCCAAGCAATTCCAAAATCATAAGTAGGTTTTTTGTTTTGTTTTAAGTCGGAGTCTCACTCTGTTGCCCAGGATGGAGTGCAGTGGCAGGCCCATGACCACCTCAGCCTCCACCTGCTGGACTCTGATGATCCTTCCGCCTCGGCCTCCCAAGCAGCCGGAACTGCAGGGGCGCACTACCACACCTGGCTTTTTTTTTGGTTTATTTAGAGACGAGAGCTCACCAAGTTGTTCAGGTGGGTCTCGAACCCCCGGGCTCATGTAATCCTCTCGCCTCAGAATTCCAAAGTGCTGGGATTACGGGCTTGAGCCACCATGCCCAGCCTAGACTGAGGTTTATGAGGGCAGGGCTGCTGGATGTCTTGTCCTCAGCACCCGTTCACTATTTTATTTTACTTCTTGAGTCTCACTCTTGTGCCCAGGCTGGAGTAGAGTGGCATGCTCACGGTCATCTCAGCCTTGACCTGCTGGGCTCAGGCAATCCTCCCACCTCAGCCTTCCAAGTAACCGGAACTACAGGCACGTGCTACCATGCCCGGCTTATTTTTTGATTTATTGTAGAGATGATGCCTCACCAAGTTGCCCAGGCTGGTCTCGGAAACCCCTGAGCTCTGGCAATCTTCTCACCTTGGCCTCTCAAAGTGCTGGGATGACAGGCTTGAGCCACCGTGCCTGGCCCATAAGTAGGTTTTAAGGTCACTCCTCGGGTCTAGCAACACCCCCGTGTCCCCAAGGTGGTCCACTCTCCCCTTCTGGGGGTCCATCTGGAGCAGCCCCATAAAAGTCCCCAGCCCCGGCTGGAGTCCTCGGCCCAGAATCTTTTCATGCTCCGGGTCATGTTGTCCCTGAAGGGCCCAAGAATAGGCCTTTTCCTTCCTGTCCAGGATGGGGGCCTCGTCCCCAGCACCCCAGCTTCTTCAACCCCTACCGTGCGTCCTCCCCGTGCCTGTCCCCTCCCTCCCACTGGTCTGGCTGTGCGTCCCGTCTGCCGTCCCTGCGTGTGTCCCATCCCACCCCCTGTCTTGGCATGTGTTCTGTCCACTGTCTCTGTCCCGTCCCTCCCCCTGGTCTGGCTGTGTGTGCCGTCTGCCGTCCCTGCTGGCTGGCCTGAACCTCTCCCTCGGTGTTGCAGTTACCTGACTGACGTGGACCGCATTGCCACCTCGGGCTACCTGCCCACCCAGCAGGACGTGCTGCGGGTACGCGTGCCCACCACCGGCATCATCGAGTACCCCTTTGACCTGGAGAACATCATCTTCAGGTACCTGTGGGCTAGGCAAGGGGTGCGCCGCCGTCCCCAGACGGCGGGCACAGCGTTTGTCAGCAGGGAGCGTTTGGTCCAGGGCGGGGGGTTACCAGCA